CACTTTCATTAAGGGGGAAATCACCGTTAAAAATTCAAAGCCAAATAGAAATCAAACCAGCACAGAGACTGGGGCCACGAACTTAATAGTGTTTTTTTTTTTCCAGAAGGAAAATAAAAGCACTTCAGGATGGCTTAGCAACAACCAAGCCACTTACCTTCCTCCCAAAGCCTCCGAACTTTCCACTAACCCATCACCTAGGTGAAGAGAAGGCCAGGCTCCAAATGAAAGCATTCTCTTCTAATGGACCATGGCCAAGTTGGGCCTGTTGAAGCCTGGTGCTCCTATCTGATTCCTTCTCTTCCCACCCCCACCCCCACCCCAGCACTGCAGGAAAATATTTGATCTCCAAGTCATGCTTGTTTGACCCCAGACTTCTACATCTAAAGACCATATTTCCTGAGATCTTAAAGCTGAGGTGCTCAGATCCTATCCTAAATCAGAAATGTGAGGGTACAATGCATTGTTGTCTGTATGCATTGTGCTTCTGACCTTTCAGCCCGACTTACAGAACTGGCCTTATTAGGGAAATCACCAGGTGACAATGAGCTGTGGCCCTGTGGGGATTGTTTTTTGTCCTTTTCAAGGGCAATAAAATGAAATAAAAGAACTATCAAAGACATTCCCTTAAAAAAAACTATTTGATTTTAAATGTCTGTGGACAGTTTAATCTGTAGTCATAGAAAAGTACAAAAACCCAACCCAAAGAGGTGATCCTTCCCACCTCCTCCCAACCCTGCTCTCTCTTCCTCCAATTCCCCTTTTCCCCACGGTGCTGGCAGCATGGTAGGATGCAGTTCATAAAGGAGTAAGCATGGAATTATTGTCTTTCCCAATAGCTCAAAGCACAAATATTCCACTGGCTCCAAGATCCCTTAAAATATTTTGTGAGAAGTCACTGGGTAAACAGCCTCATCCAAATCTCAGCTCTTTCCCCATGTTGGTTTGGCAGAAGCTCCATTCTACTCAGATTAGAAGCAGATTCCTAGAGATTTTGACTAGGTGTTTGCCTGTTCTCACCAGCCAGAGGAAGTCCCCCTGGGGTTCATTCTTCTCCCTGGGGACATTAATATGCCCCATACCGGAGCTATCTCAGTGACAAGGGGCAAATTTTCTGAAGGCCCTTCAACCAAGTTACATTTCTGTCCATGTTGTTGGGGGCTGCTTCATAGACTTCTAGGTTGGAGAGGGTTCACTCCCAAACTAGATTCCTCCACCATCTCTAAGGAAATGTTCTCATGAGCCCCTTGTTGTTCTCCACCTGCCCAAGGGAGAAATAACTCCAGTTAAGATGTCCACTTCTCTATGCCAGTAACCACATGCTTCTCCCCTCAACCCCCTTTCGCCAGGAAAAAGGAAAAGTAAAAGCACCTGTCTCTTATGGTGGTTATGGCTCTCTGGTCACCAGGGAAGGTTCTAGAGATCGTCTAGACCTGCCTCTTTTTGGGGGAGGTTTCACACTTGAGACCTCCAGGCCTATGGATCACCCCAAGAGACTCCTAAATATGCAGGAGTGGTGGCACCTGTCTGCTCCGATCTCTAGGCCTGTGCTTTTCCCTTCACTAGCAGGTGTTTTCAGATGATTGGCTCCTTTTTTGAGCTCAAGTGTTATACAAACAAATGAGCTTTGTAAATGAACTTTGGGAACTGTTTTCTGATTCACTTCCAGGAAAAAACCAATCTTGCTTGGAAGATGAAAGCTCATTCTCTTGGACCCTCCTAACAGCTGGTTCTATCTTTATCTACTCCTACCCTGCCCCAGTCCTTTTACTTATACCTAAAATGTACTTCAAAAGTCCAAAATCATTATCTCAAATTCCTCCCAAGGTTCCTGCTCCAAAGAGTCGATCTCTGGGCCAAGAAACCAATCACACTTGCTTGCTTCCCAGCAAAGAGCTGGTTCCAGGTGGTGGAGAGGTGAAAGCAAAGGGCTGTGGGCCAATGGGGCAAATCAAGGCAAGACATGTAGGAAGGGAAAAGTCCTGGACTCCTTTGGACTCTGGCCCTAGACATGTGGGCCTCTCTCTTTGGCAAGCAGATGATTTAGTAAACCCATCCCTACCCTGACAACTTCTAATACTATCTTAGGGCTAGATCAGTGCAGTCCAGGAATGCAGCGATCAAGGCAGAGAGCAACTTGACTGCCTTGATGCAGCAGCTCCCCTCCTGTATATGCCTAGCTTGCTTCAGCATGCCCCTTTTTCAGTGGAATTGGAAGCAGCCCGAGGAAAATAAATATTCAGGCTTCGTCTACCAGCCCTTCCAAAAGGTAGGTGCCTCCAGACTGCAGAAGGAGCATTGTGGGACTGGGGGGGTTGTGGGGAAAAAAATCAGTGCAGAAGCCCAGCTGGCAAGGCCTACCTATTGTCTTATAGCACCAGAAAGCCCTTCCTCCCAGAAGTAATAGATCTGCAGGCTTCCTTATCTTCTGGACAGCACCGATCCGATGGCTCGCCGCTGCTTGCTTACAGAATTCAAGGAAGTTGAATTTCTACCCCCTGCAATCTCAGTGACTGGATCAAAACTCTAAGGAACCATGGAACCTGACCCCCAACCAGAGGTGTACTGCCCTCGAGGTGGAACAAGACCGAAGGACTGGAGAAAAAGCCGTTGGCCAGACAGCCTCCCACCCACCCCAACCCTCCAACACACACGTACACACACATACACATACACACACACACACACACACACATGACTAGAAAAGGATTGTGTCCCTGCCTCCCCTTCCAGCAGGAGCATTATTGTTCACATAGGGAATTGTTTTCCAGAAATTGGGAAATTGTCTCTTTTCTCGGTGCTGCCAAAAGGCTTCCAGGTAATGAAGTCTGTGAGTGAGGGGTAATTGGATCCACCTAATTTGCTCCCGGATTGGGTCTCCCAATCTTCCCGTTTACAATTAAAGGAGAGTGGGGGGTGGCACTGGGGGGCTCAGAAGGCAGCAATGGGAGCCAGGTTGTTGGGTTCTGGATTTCAGAGATGCCTCAGCTGTGCACATGCCCTTGTACAGACAAACACACACACATACACACACATACATACAGATACACACACACACACATACACACCCCAATATTTGCTTCAGTCCTCTATCTGGCTCTGGACTGCCTCTGGTCAAGACCAGCAAGAAGCTGAGCCCACCCCGTCGAGGAGTGCCTATTCTTACTTTCTGAGAAGATCTGTTCAAACCGGTCGCCTGCCTCCCTACCTCCCTGCCTGCGAGATGGCTGGAGAGCCCTTCGGGGCCTCAGGATGACAGGCACCTTCCCCTCCCCCCCCAACCCTGTTTGGATGCCTGCCCTGCCCCTCCCGTGTAAGCTTTCCTTTCTCTCAGGTCACTCTTCCCAGGCTCGCTGCTCTCCCACAGCAAGGCTCCCTGTGCCCCCCAACACATACACACACACACACACATACACACACACACACATACACACACCCCTATTCTCAGCTGCCTTGTATAGGTAAGGGATCAGGGACACTAGTAATGGCTGAGTCTCGAAAAGATGCCCACATGAGAGTCACTCAGTGGCTTTGGAGATACCGACGAGCAAGCGGGAGCCTCCAACTCTGATGCCCTTGCTCACTGATCACCCTGCGTTCACCTGTTTGCCCCTGAGGTGTCCAGAACCCGAGAGGCTGACACGCAGCGCCCTCTAGCGGCCCTGAGCAGCCACAGAAAGAGGAAAATGCGGCCCTAAGTGGAGGTGGGGGGAGGGGTGGAGTTATCTTCACCCCCAGTAACCTGTGAACAGCTCTCAGGATCTGGCTCGCGCTGTCTCTCTCTCTCTCTCTCTCTCTCTCTCTCTCTCTCTCTCTCTCTCTCTCTCTCTCTCTCTCTCTCTCTCTCTCCCTCTCTCTCCCGAACCCCAGAGTCCTGGCCTCATCTACATGCCTTCTCTGGGCTCCTGACACAGATGCAACGCCCGATCCAAAAGCTGGGGTGTCCAGGCTGGGAGACACTGGACAGGGGCTCCCCACCGTCACTAGTCCCAGGCCAGAGGGACTAAGGGTTCCTCCTAACCAGGCCTGTGCCTGGATATCCCTATCCTTAGGGATAAGGATAGCAGTCCAGAAGCCAACCAGTCCATGACCAAGACAGCCAGGACTGAGCCCTGTTGAGCCCCCTTCTGGGAGTCGGGGTCCCGTAGAATCCAAAGCACAGGAGTGCGGCACGAAGCCCCCAAGGCTGTAGGAGGAATGAGCCTCTGCCAAAACCTGTGGAAGCTGTCAGCCATACCCCTTGTACGAGTGCCAGGATGATGGACCTCCCGACAGAGTGAATGAGGGGAAAGGGGTCTCTGGTTAAGGAGAGGAAGTGGGGAGCAGAGAGAAGACGCCTTCGGCCTTGGGTTTCTGAATAATGTGAGCGGTCAGATAAAAGCTTGAAGCGTTTGCCTGTGACCCTGCCTTGTACGCACACTCATCCTAGGCGAGCCCTACAACTCGGAGAAAGTTACCCACCCCCTCCCCATCCCCGCTGGAGAACTTTCAAAGTCACCAGCCAGGCGCAAGGTCTCTGTCTCCTATTTATTACCTGTGCCAGAAACTTCCTTAGCCCACTGTCCCCTCTGTGGCCCCTCTCCGTCAGAGGCCGCCCTCTCCCCTCAGAGAAAGCACATATACACAGGCGCGCGCGCGAACACACACACACACACACACACACACACACACACACACAAACACACACATCCCTCATCCTTTCCCTCCGCATCCGAATGGATGGGGTTCAAGACCCTCTCAGCAGGCTCCTTCGAAGCACAAGAAAAGGGGCGGACAGGGAAAGGGAATGGGTGAGGGACCCCACCGAAAATCGAGCTGGAGGCAGGCGTCCAACTTCGCCTCTCTGTTCCAACGAATCCCCTCCCCACCCAGGTCTCAGGAGCCGCCTGGAGAAGCATTTCTCTCTCTACTCCCAGGCCCCGATTCCCATCCTTCCCGGCCCCGCTGCTTCCTTTTCTTGCATTTAAATGCCAAAAGAGCCGAGACAGTGCGAAACTCACCAGGTAGAGAGTAGGCTGCCAGAGGAGAAGGACGTACCAATACGCAGCCTGCATCCTCCCGCGTCTCAAACTTCCTCTCCTTCGCCTGCGCTGAGTCTCTGTTCCCTCAAGAACATAGATCCCCCTGACGGCCACTTCACAGAGGAAGGAGATCTCTCACCAGCCTAAACAAAAATGAAATAATAGAACCCATGACCACCCGGCAAGGTTAGCCCGGCAGACAAGGAGACAGGGAGAGGCAGACACTGGAGCACAGCCGGCCAAAAAAGCGAACCCCCGAGGAAGGAAAGAACTCCGAAAAGCCGGTACAGCCTGTGCCCGCCGGAGAAGAGAGAGACAGTGGCCGCGGCTGAGGGGCTGCGAGAGTCCCTTGCGCCCTGCGCTCCTGGCCCACCAGATCGGGGGTGGCCGAAGGCTGAAGACCGCTGAGCGCCGAGCGCCGAGATCAGTGGCGTGCGCACTGGGCTGGAGCTGCGAGTCCCGCTGGCCGCCAACGTGCTTTCCTTTCTGCTTTATAGCAAGCAGGGCGACTCGGACTCAAGGAGGGTGCTGGCTCCCCAGCAGCCCAGCCAGTCCCTCTCCACGCACACAGCAGCCGAGAGACCGGTCGGGAGGGGGACAGGGGAACAGGGGGAGAGGAGGAGAAAGGGGGAGGGAAGGAAAGTGGATAAGTGAGAGGGAGGAGGGAGAGGGAGAGAGAGGAAGAACGGGAGAGAGAGAGGGAGAAGAGGGGAGAGGGAGAGAGAGAGAGAGAGAGAGAGAGAGAGAGAGAGAGAGAGAGAGAGAGAGAGAGAGACAACCAGCTTCTCCAGACGTGGGGAGGGGGGAGGTCGCGAGATTTGCATACAGAAAAATGTGGGAAAATCAGTGTGCACACTAGACTCCTTTCTCTCTCTCTCTCTCTCTCTCTCTCTCTCTCTCTCTCTCTCTCTCTCTCTCTCTCACACACACACACACACACACACACACACACACACACACACACCACACACACAACACACACACACAACACACACCACACACCACACACGGTTCAGCATCCACTTTCTCAACCAAAGAATAAACGCCCGTTGCTAACTTCTGGCGCAGCTCTAGAAAGGGGTGGAGGAGCTGAGGGTCGCCCCAGATATGTGTTCCTTTCTTTCTCCAAGGAGCCTCTCCACTTCCCTTTCCTCTTTCCTCCCTTCTCCGTCTCAATCTACCTAGTAGAAGAGAGGCGTGGGGAGGAGAAGAGGAGAGGAAAGGAGAGGAGAGGAGAGGACGGGGTGGGGGGGGAGAGAAAGAGAGAAGAGAAAGATGAGAGGAGATAAGCAGGCAGGCAAGCACCCTTACACGTACCGCACCGAGCAGAATGGGAAGGCGACCGGGTCCCTCTCCAGGAAGGCTCCATGTAGAATAGAGCTACAAGGGTTCGTGCCTGGCAGTGGGCCGGCGGTCCCCCGGCGGGCGCTTCGCCTCCATGCCTCAGCAGGGGCGGGTGGGTTCCTCGGACTTGCTCAGCCTGAGAGGCAGCGACTCCGAAACGCCTCCCGTGCTTGCACCCAGGGGTAGGCGCAGTTCAAGGAAGCCCCAGGCCGCCCCGATGCCAGCTGGATTCACATCGCAGGGAACTGGAGAGCTCAAGGGGCTGGGAAGGTGGAGGGAGGTTAGAGTAGGCTCCAGCGAGGGCCAGAAGAGAGCCGATACCCAAAGAGAAGCGCAGAGAGACTGAGAGACAGGCTCCGAGACCTAGACACGCAGGGTTTGAGACCCTCCAGGGCATGCACTGGGAGGCGGGACACGAAGTCCAAGGCAGCGGCAGCGGCAGAGGCGGCGGCGGCGGCGGCGGCGGGCGCGGGGAGGAGGAGGAGCCAGAGCAGCCGCCTCTCCCGGTTTTCGCTGCTGCCCGTCTCTCTCGGCTGGAAACCGGTGGGGCTGGGGGGTGGGGGACGACACAAGGGGAGGAGGAGGGGGAGGTGGCCAGCCTGCTGGGCGGCAACTTCCAAGGCAGATTCTGTGTGGGGGAGGTGAGGACGATCAGGACCCGAGACTTTGGGGGAGTGGGGTGGAGGGGTGGAGAGCCTTGATCTCCCTGAAGCTGCGGGGTACACTGAAGACCTCGACGCCTGCCTTCTCGGAGTGCTTTACCCCTCCTCTCCCTGTTTCCCTCCCTCCTCTCCTCCAGGCCTCCCGGTCTCCATCAGTCACCTAAGAAGGAGAATGACGCCCCCCCCATACACATCTGCCCTCATATTTAACCTCACCTCCCAGCCTCAAACCCGAGCCTGAGCCGGAGCTCACCTCCTCTAGGCGGAGCCCTCAGGGCCAGGGCTTGGGCTACATAGACGGGGCGGGAACCTTGAGCTCTGTGTTCCTAGCTTGCTCCGCCCGGGGGGCAGGGGAGATTGGAGAAGGGTGAAGAGAGGGAGAGGGGCTAGACAACACCCTGGAGGTGGGGCGGGGTAGTTCAAAGCTAGTTCATTGGGGGGTCGGGGGACCCATTGGCCAGCGGGCCCCACATGGTCCCCAGAGCTACCTGGCCTACCTCAGGCCGGGCGGGGACAGGGTTGGTTCGGAAAGCTTTGTCGGACCCCTGATGGAGAAAGGCGGGGAGTGGGGTGATGTCTAGGCGAGGATGGGGCTGAATATGGATTTACAAGCTAATCCTCCGGTGCTGCTCTCTCTCTCTCTCTCTCTCTCTCTCTCTCTCTCTCTCTCTCTCTCTCTCTCTCTCTCTCTCTCTCTCCCTCCTCTCTCACTTTCTGCCTCCTCCCTCTTTTCCCTCTCCTTCCCTGTATCTCTTTTCCCTCTCTGCACTCCTTACTTCCCTCTTTAGCTTTCTTATTCTCATCTCTCTAACTTACCCCCTATGCCGTGAAACCTAAATAAGGCAGGTTCTCCTATCAGTGCGTGACAAGGTCAGGCCAAGTAATCATTCCCTCTCTCTCCTTCTTCCCCTCCTCCTCCTCTTACTCTCACAGTAGAGGACCAGAATCGACCCATTCCGATGTGGCCTCTCCAGGCCCCTGGCCGGCCTGAGCTGGAGCTTGGCTGGGCCGGGGGAAGCCCTCCCTCCTTCCTTCCCCACCTAAATCTCCCCTTCCCGCCCAGTGCAGTCCGCATGTTATCAAGCCTGGTTTGACTCTTGTCTTTCAGCGAAACAATGAGAATTAGAGTGAGCCCACGCTCCACGAAATAGGCGAACCGAGCGTTCGCCTGGCACCTGACGGGAACTGTCCAAGGGGCCAACTGGCAGTGAACAGACGACTCGGTGCGACGCCAGCCTTCCTCAGGAGCTAGATCCGCTCTTCTCCAGCCCTGCTGCTCGGACGTCGAAGAGCTCGTACCCACTCCCCAACAGCCTAGGTCACTTCGGCTCCGGGAGATCCCAAGCAAACCTCTCAGCCAACGAAAAGGGGGCAACGCCTCCCCCTGGAGACACCACCGAGCTGCTTGCCTGCCTCCTACACTTCCCTTCTGGCTTGACGGGGCTCCAGTGGACCTCCAGAAAAGCTGCTGCTGCTGCTGCTGCTGCTGCTGCTGCTGCTGCTGCTGCTGTTGCTGCTGCTGTTGCTGCTATTAGCTTTCTGCCTCTTGCGATCTTCGTGGACAAAGGAAAACCCAGATGGAGAAGCATCTGCCTAACCCCCTGCCAGCATTGTGGGAGTGGGGAGGGGGGGAGCTCTACTGGAGAGAGAGTAGGTGTATTCTTTTCTCTCGCTGTACTTAGCAAAATTTCGATACTCTTGGAGAAAAAAGAAGCGTGTGATTTTTGTGGTTTCTTGTATTGTCTTCTCTCCCAATAGAATGGAAGCCCCTTGAGGATGAGGACTGTTTAATTTACATAGCAAGCATTTGCTAAAGGACTGATGATTGGTTGAAGGATCTGTCATAAATACAACTCAACCTCCTCATTTTACAGATGAGAAAACTGAGGACTGGAAAGGAGAAATAGACTGTGGAAGGTCACCGAGGAAGTAAATAACAGAGATTCTCACCTAGTCTGAATTGCAAATCCATCTCACTCTCTTACTTCTCTAATTCTGAGAAAGAAGAGTAGCAGAGTTTTGTCTTCACACCACTACCGAGGGAGCCTTCGAGGGCTCCCTATGACGCCCAGGATAAAATTAAAAAGCCTATGCCTGGCATCCAGTGCCCTCCACATCCAGGTAGAACCGGCCTCTCTATGATTAACATGTTCAATCAGAACTAATTCTCTTCCCCCCCAAACTCTCTCCTCTTAGCCTTATTTTTGTTACTGAGTCGATTCAGTTTCAGTCGTTTCCAGCCCTTCATGACCCCATTTGGGGTTTTCTTGGCAAAGATACAGGAGTGGTTTGCCATTTCCTTCTCTAGGTCATTTTACATATGAGGAAACTGAAGCCAACAGGTGACTTGCCCAGGGTCACATAGCTAAGAAGTGTCTGAGGCCAGATTTGAACTCAGAATGAGTCTTCCTTATTCCCAGACCAGTGTTCTATCTGCAGCACCACCTAGCTGACCAGCAAGTTTCCTACAGTTACTTAGTATTATTATCATTATTACTGTCAAGGACCTCACCATCCTCCTTGTCACAGAGGCTGTTGTCATTAATTTCCTCAGTCTCACTAACCCTGTGTGTCCAAACTCTTACCAATTTTTTTCATTTCTACATAATATCTTTCTCCTGTGTGTGTGTGTTTGTGTACCCTTCTGTCCACTGCCACAGTCACCACTCTAGTACATGCCCTCATCACCATGCACCTTAACCATTGCAATAGACTTCTAATTGGTCTCCGTCTTGTCTTTCCCAACCCAAAGTGGCTCTTTACTCAGCAGCCAAAGCGATTTTTCTCTAGTGGGCTTGATCATGTCACATACACACGCAATAAACTCGCTGGCTCCTTATCGCTTCCAGAAGCGAATGCAAAATCGCCTGGCATTTAGAGCTTTGTACAACTTGGCCCCTTCCTACCTTTCGAGTCCTCTTCAACTTCACTCCCCTCTACACACTGCGCACTGCAGCCACATTGATTTAATTGCTGTTCCTACCATCCAACGCTCTTGCCCTGGCTCTTCTCAATGGCTGGAATGCTTACCCACCTCATCTCTGCCCCCTGACTTCCTTCAAGATTCTGCTCAAATCATGCTTTCAACAGGGGGCCTTTTGCAGGCCTTATCTCCAGCCCTACCCCCCCCACCTTCCCTCTGAGTTATCTTCCATTCGTCCATGTAGACAATTGCATATTTTCTCCTTGAGGGTGCTGTTGTTGTTCAGTTGTATCTGGCTCTTCATGACCCCACTGGGAGTTTTCTTGGCAAAGCCACTAGGGTGGTTGGCCATTTCCTTCTTTAGCTCATTTTACAAATGAGGAAACTGAGGCCAACACAATTAAGTGACTTGCCCAAGGTCACACAGCTAGGAAGTGTCTGAGGCCAGATTTGAACTCAGGAAAATTAGTCTTCCTGACTCCAGGCCCTGCACTCTACCCACTGCACCAGCTACTAACCTTGCTTCTCCTTGCCTTTCCCAGCACTGAACATAGTGCCCGGCACATAAGTATTTCATAAATATTTGTTGACAGATGGAGTGACTGACTGGCTCTGGCTTCAGCATACCTGGGCTTGAATTTCAGCTCTTTCATTTACTAACTTCATGGGTTTGTCACTTCACCTCTCTGGGCCTCAGTTTTCTCATGTGTCAAGTGAGAAGTTTGGACTGGATTTCTCTAAGGTCTGCTCCAGCACCGTGTCTATGAAAGAGGCACACAGCTTTAATAGGCACTTGGTAAATGTTTGTGGAATTTGACTGAATTGACTGAGTTTGCTCCCTAAACCTCAAAAACAAGGCTTACTCCAAACCTTGTAATTCACTCCCAACACCAAAGTCCCTAAAAGCTGTGAGCACCAAAGGATAGTCACCTTGGCAGAGTCAAGCAATGCTTCTGTGTGTGTTTTGCTCACACCTCTCTCTGTCTCTGTCTCTCTCTGTCTCTGTCTCTCTCTCTCTATCTCTCTGTCTCTGTCTCTTCCTCTCTTCTTTTCTCTTTCTGGGAAATGCCAAGCTCTTTGCTTGCCCTCACTTCAAAAACATGCTCATTGCAGGCTCTTTTCACCCTTGAGAACACAGATTTGTAAAACCTGATTCAAAAATAGAAAAGATCAAGCACCTTTCAATTTCATCCTGCGTGGAACTGATGATGTTGGAAAAGAAGCCACACAGGAGCCCAGTGATGGGGATGAATCAGCACTTGGGTTGTGGAAACAGGGCGCCCAGGCACCTTCCCTAGGAAGACCTGACAGCCTGGAGTTGATCATCGAACTTTTTTATATAAGCTTTGCTACAGCACTGGGCTTGGAGCCAGGGAGTTCTAGATGCAAATCCTGTCATTGACATTCACTAGCTGTTTAACCCTGATTTTCCCCAGAGGATTCCAGATTACAGCTCTTGTCTACAGAGCACTCTCAAGGCATTATGTCATTTGATCTTCATAATTGGTAGGTGTTAGTATCATCACCATTTTACAGATAAGGAAATTTAGGCTGAGAAAGGATAAGTGACTTGCCTAAGGTCACACTCTATCCATTCAGTTTTCCCTCTCAACTCCAGTTTCCTCATAGTAGAATGAGATTAATAATAGCACCTATTTCACAGGATTATTTTGAGGATCAAATGAGCTCATGTAGTTAAAGTGTTTGGTAAACTTGTATGTTAGTAATTATAGCTGAAATACAGGTTTACAAATAAATATTATTGTCTTTACTAATATAACTGTTTTTACTCATTGTGTTATCATTTATCATAATTATTATGAATATAATTATTATTTACTAATTTGTTTATTATCATTATTGTTACTAATCTCATTTTCCTCTCTTTCAGAGGAGTTCACATAGAAATTATCCTGGGCCACATCCAAATCCTGTTATTATT